GAGGGAGATCTTGACAAGCTCATTCTAACGCCTCCTTTCCAATTCCAAATTCCATCCCTAAGAAATCCCGCAGGTATGCCCCGCTGCCGCCTCACTTGGGACCTCTTCGCCTTATTTATTTTACAAGTTAATTTATTGCTCCTTAAGGTGATCACATTGGTTCCAGTGTCTGTTGCTCCCTGGAATTCCCCCGCCCACATTCTCCCCTTAACATCCCAATAAAGTCTTTTTCCCCACCAGGCTATCTAGTGTCTCTATGGGAGATTCAGTGTGTAAATTCAGCTGGAGTGTTTGTCGATCTTTGCGGGTCTTGTCTGGGCTAAACCTGCGGAAGGGCTGGCAAGCGGGGCGGAGCCTTATACAGAGGGGATTTTGCTCCTGCGCAGGCGCTTTCCATGGTGCTGAACGATCTGCGACTTCCAAACATCTATTTGCTGGTCGCCAGGATGGACCCTACAGAGGTTGCAAATTTTCTCCAGCTTTACTTAACTCACAAACGCAATTACACTGAGAAGCTACCCTACCCTGAGAACCTTGGGGGAATCACTCACGCACACACACACACACACACACACACACACACACACACACACACAGTGAGCTACATCTTCAGCCTTAAAAAAAAAAAAATGGGGAGGGGGACAGGGTCTCATTAAGTTGCCAAGGCTGGGTTCAAACTTGTGATCCTCCTGCCTCAGCTTTTCAGAGTGTTAGGGTGACAAGCGTGCACCACCAAGCCCTGCTAGGGACTGGGAATCTTAAACAACCTTCCTATTCCCAAAGTCCTCACTGCTTCCTAAAGAGGCCATAAGAAATCCTCCTGGGATGTGAAAACTCCAGTCAGGTGTCCCAGCAAGGAATACGTGAGGTCTCCAAACACCTAACCTGTCATACCCCATTGGATGGCATGTTGAACTTGGTCCTCTACCTATGCTGATATCTGTCCCAAGACAGTTAAAATGAGGATTAAAAGGGCATGTATGAGGGGTGGGGATATGGCTCAGCAACATAGAACCTTCCTGGCAAGTGTGAGGCCCTGAGTTCAATTTCCACTACCAAAAAAAAAAAAAAAAGCTTATATGTGGAAATATTAAGTGTGTCCACACTTAGAAGGTATTGGTTAAATAAATTTAAAATGTTAATAGGAGCAAACACTCATATGGTGCCCTCCCTAGGCCAGAAACAGCCTCAAGGGCTTTATAGATATTGTATACTTAATGATTAATTCTACTCCATGGAAATGAAACTAATTTATACCATCTAGAGATTAGGAAGTGGTGGAGTTATATCACACACTTAAATTACCATCTAGGAAAAATGGGAGCTAAGCATTTATTGTAGGCAACCTACCTTTGGTGCACATGCTCAGCCACTTACCAGGCTGTCTACTAATTCAAGACTGTTTCATAAGGTGTTCAAATTGTGCACTTGAAAACTCCAGGCCAGGCAATACCCACCACTCACCAGAGAGGGCATAAACAACCCAAAACCTACCTTTGGAGGTGGGGGAAGTATTGAGAATCCAACCCAAAGTTACATCAGCCCTTTTTGACACTTTTTAAACTTTTGAGGCAGAGTCTATATGTCACCCAGGCTGGGATCAAACTTGCAATCCTCATGCCTAATGCTCCCAGATTGCTGGGATTAAAAGCACATGCCACCACACCTGGTTGCCCTCATTTTTAAAATGTTATAATAAAAATAATTTTAAAGGAATTAAAGTTACCTACATTGTGTATTTTATGAGACCTAAGATGCTTCAGCCAAAAAAAAAAAAAAAAAGGCTGCCTGCAGGTCGGAAAAAAGCCCTACAGTAGACTTGACATTTTACCATTTCCCAACAGATGGCAGTAAAATGCTGTGTTCTAATATCAGTATGTCTTACCCGTTTCTGACAGATGGCTTGGGGTGGGAGCACCTATTTCTAATTCTTCCAAAAAGCGGTGATTCTTCATAATAGATCCACATAAACATAAGCCATGTATATTAAATGCTCATCTAGTACACATAAGGAGAGAGATATCTTCATAATGCAAGTTGGAGACAGTGTCACAGCTTTATTGAAGCATTCAGCTTGCATCTTTTTCTGGGTGGGGGCAGGTACTAGGAGTTGGACAGAACTACAGTCCTGACGTGTTTTTTTTTTTTTTTTTTTTTTTTTTTTTTTTTTTTTGCGGTACCGGGAATTGAACTCAGGACCCTGTGCTTGCCAGGCAAGCACTTATTCTACTAAGCTATCTCCCTGGCCCCCAAAGGATTTATTTGGTTTGATTTTTTTTTAATTTTTTAATTTTTAATTTTTTGTATTTTAGGGAAGGGTCTACAGTGTGTTCAGGGTCTCACTACTAGATCTGACTTGTAGTGATCTGCCTGTTTACAGCCTCCCAAGAGCTGGGATTACAGGCACACACCACCACACCCAGTCTCAATTGCTGTCTCAGTGTGCCCCAGGGGTGGGGCCAGCATGGCAGGCCTGGGGATCGAACCCCCAGCCCCTGCACCTGCTTGCAGGCACTTTAATCCATTGAGCTATTTGGCCAGCTGATTTTTTGAGACAGGATCTTGCAATGCTACCCAGGCCTGTCTTGAGCTTTCTATGCTTCTTCCCCAGGCTCCTATAATTCTGGGATTATAGGCACTAGCTGCTGCTCTTGTCTACACCATCATTCTGATAGTGGTTAGATGTTCAGGAGTACTCAGACCAGCCTCACCGAAATCTATCACTAACACCAAAGGCAGCGGAAAAGCTGCCTTCGTGCTTTCAGTCACGAGCGGGTAACAGGCTAGCAATAGCAAGGAAGCTCCAGCAGGTGAGACTGGAAATAAAAGACCATTTTTTCTCAAAATGATCAGTGATTCTTTAACACAATGGTGATATTTAGCATAATTAATCTTTGAGTGCTGTTATTAAAATATTTTGCTATTGCTCACTTGATGCTCCTAAACTAACCCTCCTTTCAACTTGAAAATGGCTTTCTTAACTCTTTTAATACAGTTTTTGTACCAGACACAGTAGTGAACACCTATAATCCAAGCTGCTCAGAAAGCTGAGACAGGAGGATCCTAAGTTCGGTGCCAGCCTGGACAAATTAGCAAGACCCCGTCTCATGATGGGTTCAATCCCTAGTGCCACATACACACACCAAAATGCAGCTTTCCAGAGACATTCCATCACATTGGTGGTATCACCCTATCACATTTAATCTTTTTTTTAAAATTTTATTTATTTATTTGTGTGTGTGTGTGTGTGTGTGTGTGTGGCTAGCTCAGCACACCAGGGGGCGGAGCTGGCTGGCATGTGGTGCTGGGGGATTGAACCGTGGTCCCTGTGCTTTGCTAAGCTTGTTCTAAGTAGGTGCTTTAGACCACTGAGCCATCTCACCAGCCCCTAATTTCTTCTTAAATCAATGAAGTAGAGCACACTCATATGAATTCTTTACCTGCCAGCTGCACAGGGCAGCTGATGTGGGACACTCCACATTGCTGGCTCTTGATAACTCTGTCTCCCAATTTTCCTGCCCCAGAATGATGTCCCTTTTGTGATGGCTTGGCCACCACACTCACTTTATCTGTGGAATTCTGGAAAGCATGGCTCAGTTTTTTGGAATGTGCTCTGAGACTCCTTAACCATGCAAAGAGACCCACCTACTCCCCTGGACCACAGGGAAAGATGCTTGCTCCATTCCCAGCAGATCCAGCCATGTCAGCGAGCTATCAGACGGTTAAAGGAAGCTGCTTTGAATTCCTCCCAGAGCAGCCAGGAGCGACCAAAGCCAACAGCTGTGCTGCCAGCTGAGCCCAGTCCGGGTCTCCACACCACAATGAAGTGGCCCTTTCATACCTTAAGTGTTGGGATGCAGACACTGGTACCTGCCCTGCAGTGCGCTAATAAGTACTTGGCCTACTGTCTATGAGAGGCTCCAAGCAGGTGGGCTCTGGTGGGCCAAGAGGCTTTCTGGGGTGGTGGAACTTGAGATGATCCTTGACAAAGCCAGAGCAGTGGCGAGTGGGGAGTGGCTAGTAACAGGAGTGGGCAGAGGTTTCCTTAGTGTGGGTTTCCCCAGAAACAAACACAGAAGCAAGGATCAGAGGGCAGAGACACAGAGAAAGGAGAACAGCCCAGTGTGAAGTACCTGCCTATAATCCCAGCACTCCGGGAGCTGAGGAAGGACAATCATAAGTTCCAACCCAGCTTGGGCAACTTGGAGACTGAAGTCCTGTCTCAAAATTAAAACACTGTCAAGGAGCTAGGACGAGGGCTGGGGATATATCTCTGTGGCACAGTGCCTGCCTGGCAAACGCAAGGTCCTGAGTTCCATTGCTGGTACAAAACCAAAACTGCCGCCACCGCCGCCACCCCCCCCCCCCATGCACACATCCAGGATGTAGCTTAGTGGAACGGCCTTGGGTTTGTTCCCCAGTTCAAAAAGAAAAAAAGAAAAGAAAAACAGCCAAGAAAGTGTGTTATCAAGCCTGAACACTACAGAAAACAGAAGCTTTGTTCTGTCGTGGGGAGCTCTGGGAGTCAGGGTTGGAGAGCGCATTTCTGAAGGACTGGAGTATTTAAACAACATCTTCTATCAGTCACTGATTGAGAATCACTGGAATGAAAAGCACGCATGCACTTGCTGGCCCTTTTTGTGTTTGCAAACCTGGGGCCTTTAATGCTAGGCAAGTGCTCTCCACTGAGCCTTCCCTCAACAAACTCTGGCTTTTAAGGCTTACTCCACCTCTCAGAGGATAAAGTGGTGTGCAGATGCCCACAGCAGGAAGACGGCCACATGCAAACCAGGAAATACACTCATCAGACTGCCTCACCTTGATCTTGGCTTTCCAGCTCCTAGAACAGTAAGGAATAACCCACGGGGCCTGGCTGGCTGGATAGGGTGAGGGGATGGCCCTGGTGTCCACTGCATGTTCCACCAAGCACATCCATCCAAATGTGACCCCTCGGCCCCCAGGGATGAGACAACGTAATCCTAGTTTGAACTGAGTTTAATAAGGTGCTTCAGAAACACGCAAGTTAGGGAAATGATTCACTGGGACGGTGGAGGTCTGGGACAGGGACTCCACTGAATTCTTAGAGAGCAGTAGGAACCGGGCCACATGAGTCCCAGAGGGCCCTTCCTGCATCTCAGGGGTTCAGATCCAAGTGGTATGGCTCCTCGGGAGGGTTAGGGGCCATCTAGGGTTCTGGGATGTCTTGAATACCACAGAGGAGATGTCATCTGTGTTTCTGAGTACAGGTGGCTGAGCTGGGAGAGGATCCTGAAAGATCCTGGTGGGGGGCAGTTAGAGAGGTCTGGGGTGTTTCACAGAAACAATCAAGGGGCCTCGATTTCACAGAAATCATTAAGAAGGCTCCTTGTGGTGGGTGAGGGGTAGCACACTACCCCAAATATTGGGGCTAGTACACCCCGCACAGCCATTTTGGGGTTTTAATGTAAGACCCTAATGGCAAGATGTTCCCATACATTATCATGGATTTGCATCATTAGCATACGCTGACTGTCCCACGGGACGGTGGGGACTGGAAAATCAGTCCAGGTCTGAGTTGAGTCCTAAGAGGACAAGCCTGGGGGCGCCATACGGCTCCTCTTCAACAGCTGCCGGAGCTGGGGGCAAGAAAGGGGGAGTGAGAAGTGTGGACAGGTAGAAGGGGAAGTGGCAAGAGTGGGTGCACAATGCAACTAGGGATTAGACCTGGGTTCAGACCAGGGGAGAGAAAAGGGACAGGTGTTGCTGGATGGGAACTCCCACCTTGGGATCAGCCCTAAAAGGAGTGAAAAGGTAGAGACAAGGGACAGAAGTCCCATCTGAGGTTAAGACTCAAGGATTAGGGATAGGGGTTTGGAAGTCCCACTAGGGGAGGGTGGAAGCCACATCCTGGTCAACACTAAAGGTTGGGAGTAGAGCTCATAAAGTCAGGGTTGGGGTAGAGGTCAGGAGATACCACACTCAAGGATCAGACAGTGCTATGAGGGGTCACATTTTTAAGATGGGCGGATAAGGGTTGAGCTCACCCTTTAATGTCAGGTCAGGTGAAGAGCCCCCCACGCCCACAAGCTGCCTCAAAGGCCACTCCACCCATGTGAGGCTCACCCCCTCAGGGCCCGGCCCAGGGCGCAGCAGGTGGATGGGCTGCTCATTCTCCAGGTTTCGAAGAGTTGGGTCTGCTCCAGCTGCCAACAGGTGCCGTACAATGGCCTCCTGGAGAGGTCCCGGAGGCAGGGCCGCTGCCATGTGGAGGGCTGTGTTCCCATGGGCCTGGCACAGTGACGGGTAGGCTGATGAAGAGCTGTGCTCAGCTGCCTGGGACCCCCCGTGCACTGCATCTCTGTCACCTCCACATCCTAAGCTCCCTGCCATATCCCAGATGTCTCCTTCCCAGCTGCACTCCACACAGCCCTCTGGGTCTGTCTCCCATGCATGTCCCTTCACACCTCACACTGTCCCCTTCACGTCCCATAGCCACAGGATCCCAACATCCCACTGCCCTTCGCTCACCTATCTTACACAACCTACACACCCAGCCCAGGCCCCCACCTTCATGTTAACAAAGGTCCGTAGGTCCCCCCGGGGCAGTTCCAGCAGCAACTGGACCAGGGTAGGGTTGGCAGCCTGCACAGCCAAGTGTAGAACTGTCTTGTTGCTCTTGATCTCCTGTGAGGAAGGGAGTGGCAGAGGTCAGGCTCACCCTCCATTCAGACCCCTCCCTTGGAACCCAGGAGCCTTTAGAGACCCTGCTCCTCCTCTGCTGGACTCACCCTTGGTGCTGTATATAGTTGTGTTATGTACTACATGACAGTGCCACATTCAAGGGGTAGCACTTCACACCACACGAATTACAGAACTGTAATTTACTCTAATTTTCTTGTGCAAGTGTCTAAGAAACTGCTTCTCTTTTGTAATTCCTCCAAGGAGTTCTGTAGGATGGCATTTGTCCTTGTCACCTGCATTCTATTTAGCATATTAAAATGCACCCTGTCCCATACAGACTGTACTTTATCTAAAAGGACAAGAGATAGTATTTACTGGTAGACTCATTAAGCTATCTCCACCGCAGTACTGAACCATTCATTCTCTTCATATTTTGGAAAAATAAGACATTTCCTAAAAGGAGATCTTTATTACATGCCTTTAAGGAATGTATGTTCTCTCCCCCTCCCACCTCCACGTAGTACCAGGAATTAAACCCAGGACCTTTCCATTGAGCTACATCCCCAATCCTCTCTAGAATTCTGAAACAGCATCTCATTGTTTCCCAGGCTGGTCCTGAACTTGTAATCCTTGTTCTTTAGTCTCCCAGAGTGCTCAGATTACAGCCATGTATCACCATACCTGGCAGAATTTATATTTTTTTGCATTTTAGGGAAGGGTCTACAGGGTGTTCAGGGTCTCACTACTAGATCAGACTTGTAGGGATTCTCCTGTTTACAACATCCCAAGAGCTGGGATTACAGGCGTGTGCCACCATACCCAGTCTCAATTGCCATCTCCGTGTGCACCAGGGGCAAGGCCAGCAAGGCAGGCCCAGGGATTGAACCCCCGGCCTCTGTGCCTGCTTGCAAGTGCTTTAATCTGGTGAGCTATTTGGCTGGCCCTATATTCTTTTAAAATGAATATTAAAATTCTGTCAGGCATGGTGGCACATGCCTGTAATTGCAGCACTTGGGAGGCTAAGACAGGAGGATTGCAATGAATTCAAGGCCAGCATGGGCTACAAAGTGAATTCAAGGCCAGCCCAACCTGCACAGTGTGACCTTGTCCCAAACAGACAAAAAAAAAAAAGTAAAAAGTAAAACTTTGATATGTTGTACAAAGAAACCAACACAGTCATGAAGAAAAAATAGGTGGAAAAAGCTCTATATTAAAAGTAATTTAAATCCTGGTGTGGCACAAAGCTGTAATCTCAACACTCTTGAGTGGCTGAGGTAGGAACGTTCGAGCCCAGCCTGGGAAGATTAGTGGCTTTGTGAGACTCCATCTCAACAAACATAAAAGTACTAAAGACATAACTCAGTTTGAAGGTCTTAGGTTTAATCCTCAGTACCACAAACATATACTCAGTAATTTTTTAAAAAGTCTTATCATTGTAGTACGTGGGCTTTATTTACATCCTATTTTTTGAAGAAAAACGAATGAATCACTTTACAGCCAAAAGGAAATTTGAACCTAGTCAGTATATCTGCAACGATGAGATCACCAGTGTTTTAAAAGCAGGATGATGGTATTAAGGGTACAACAATTGTCTTTCCAAGACACAAGCCACTCTGTGGCAGAGCATGTACTCTGGATTCAATCCCTAGCACCAAAGAAAAAAGGACACAAACACACAGGGAAATAATTACATAATCATATGCTTGGATTTGGATTTGCTTAAAAATAATGACGGATGGTACAGCAAGGTCCTAGGTTCAATTTTAGCACTGCCAAAAAAGAAAACTGACATAGGAAAGAGAATAGCTGGGACAGAGCTGGCCATGAGCTGCTGGTTACTGATGCTGGGTATATGGAGTCTGTTTTCTATACTGTATCTGTGTTCAAAATTCTCCCCCTCCACCCCCATATTGGGAATTGAACCTGGGGTCTTCACACCGAGTTGCATCTTAGCAGTTCTTTTTAATTATGAGATAGGCCTTGCTAAATTGTCTAGGCTGGATTCAAATTTGTAAGCGTCCTGTCTCAGCCTCCCAGATTACTGGGACTGTAGAAATGTACCACCAAGTGGGGCTTGTATGCAGAATTCTTGAACTAAAAAAAAAAAAATGCAACTAAGTAATATTTCATTCTCAGCCAGTCTGTGAAGACATTGTTATCACCCAAAAGAAGATGAAGGTAGAAGTAGTAGAATAAGTAGAACTACTCTCCTCCCTGGCACAAAACCTCTAAGATTTCTCACTTCCTGTGCCTCGCTGCTTGTCAGTAGGGGAAATAGCAGCAGTATCTGCCTCAAAGCATGTTTGTGAGGATCCAAATAAATCTGTTACATTCAGAACTTGGTTAAATAGTCAGTAGCTGACAAATTCAAATTAAGATCCTTCATACTACTTGTAAACCAACTACTAGGGCGCAGAAGTAACCTGCTCAAAGCCACATAGCCCAAAAGAGACAAATCAGCCTTTGGTTAGTGTCCTGGACATTCAGTTGGCTCTGTCCCACATACCCTCCCACAGGTTAGCCACCCACAGCCCAGCTCACCTGGCTGGTATGGTCTGCACCCATGTGCAACAACATCTGGACGCAGGCCAGTCTGTCTCGGGCTTGAGTACTCAGCATCCGGGGACCAAGGCTAGGTGGATGCATAGCAGCATTGAGGGCCAGGATGGCTGTGTGGAGGGGAGTGAGGCCTGCAGAATGGCGACAGTAAGGGATGTGCACCTGGGATACCCACCCTGCCCAACCTTGCCTGTCGCAAACAGCCCTGCCCACACCAGCTCACCTTCAAAGTTTCTGGCTTCCAGGTTGACCTGAACTCCTGCTTTAAAAACTGCCTGAGAGGAAGAGGAGGGGAAAAAGCGCTATGGAAGGGTCTTTTAGGCTTCCTAGCCTGGAAGCTAGAATCTGAGTAGCCAATCCACCCCAGACACCCCTCATGCCAGCTGGCCATACCGAAAGGACTCCTGGAAGCCCGTAGGTGGCAGCCACGTGCAAGACAGAACGTCCCTGATGGTCAGTGGCATTAGGCTCTGCACCCAGGTTCAACAAATCCTCCACAATCAGTGGCTGATTGGCAGCAGCAGCCACCAGAAGCGGGGTCTACAGGCCACAGGAAAGGTCAGTGTGGACTCCTAGGAGCTTCCCCTCTGAAAACCAGGAAGCTAGGCTCCCAGCCCTTTCCACCCTCAGTCTCAGGAATTCAAGAGCCCACTGCCCTTGCCAGCAGGACCCAGAACTCCAGGCCCCCATTTCTCACCTTGCCCTTATGTTCTCGAATGTCCAGATGTCTGTACATCTGGAGCACCTCAGCTGCAGCATAAGCTGCCCAGCGCAGTCCTCGGGCTGCAAACAGGTGCAGGAGCCTGAAGGCAGGTGGGGGCAGTGGTGAGAACAGCCCCTGCTGGACCAGGAGGCAGCAGATGCCCCCCCTTTCACATGTACTCACGTGTCTCCCTCCTCATCCTGGGCCAGCAGCTGTTGGGGCCCCAATGCCAGCATGTGAGCTCGTGCTGCATCCAGAGATGGTCCTGTGCATGGGGGCAGCTGTGGGGGTCCTGGGGAGAGGCCAGAAACTCTCCAGGATCCTGCCTGTTGCAGGGAGGGTTCCGCATAGAGGCGAGTATCCAGGGGATCCTGAAGGGTACAGGTAGTGGAGACAATTAGCTGACAACTCCCTTCCCACTCTATCACACACCAAGTGACCTTGAACCTTTGAGCCTTGTTTTTGCCCATCTGGGGAATGAGGTCTTACCCCAGCCCTTGACATATTACAATACTGCATGAGGACAACTGGAACTTTTAGGGATCTTCAGCATCTTCTCCCTACACAGTATCTCACCTCCATCCCCAGGGGAAATGGGCCTGGCCTTCCCGAGTCGGAAGGTGGGTAGAAATCAGGAGTCAGGAAATTTTCAGCAGCAGGAGCAGGGTAAGAGCAGGGGCTGTCTGTATAGGCAGCATGCGTGTTGGGGTCCCAGTCTGGAAAGCTTGTGGAGGGGGCCAAGCTGCCAAGTCCAGAACCCAGAGTCTCCTGGAGTGCTAAGAAGTGGGTACGGCCTGTGTGTGAGAAGAGGGGCAGGGCAGGGCTGGTTACAAGGGGCCCAAGGCGGGGTGGGGTGGGTGGGTGTGTCACAGCCACGGTACTGTGACTCCTACAGCCCTGAAAGTTAGGACCTCTGGGCCACCAAAGGCCAGGGGCCTAAAATCCTGATGCACCAACGGCACAGAAGTAGAGACTACTGGGAAAGCAAGGGCCCGGGCTCCTAAAGGACTATGTGCACAGTCTATGGGGCTCCAGAGAAAATAGATCAATTTTCACTGATTCCCAGGCGAAAGTTTTAAGACTTGGGATGCCTGAGAGCCTGAAGGAAGCTGATGGGGAGCTGAGGGAAGCGGGTGAGTTTCCAGACTTACCAGGCTCTGCCTCATTCACTGATGGGGTCAGGGACTGGGCTGGAGAAGGGGAGAATTGGGCCTATAAACAGAAGCAAAAAGTAGTAAGGGTCCATTTCTGTATATGGCATATTCTCAGCATCTGGTCCTGACTTATAGGGTATCAGCATAAGGACTACAAACTCTCATCAGCCCTAAGGGCTAGCAAGCCAGTAAATTCCTGCCCCGACATCACGTAGTCGGCATGAGCTACAGGGAGGGATCCTGGGGCCTCACCGGTGCCCCCGAGGCCTCGGGCTGCTGCTGGCGACGTCTCTGTTCTTCCAGGAGTTTTTTCACGGTCTGTGTTTGGCAATGGCTTCGCTCATTCCGGCTCACTGGGGAGGAAGAAACAGAGTCAGGCGGGGTCCTTAAGTCACCCAAGAGTACGGTGTGGATGTGGGCGCCCTCCCGCGCGGAAAAATTGGCACACCGACGCCGCCGGAGAACTCCAAAGCCAACAGACTGAGTGCGTCGCCCGCCTCCGCCGTTTCCTTCCCTTTGCTCCGCACTCTCCCTCTGACCCAAGTTTCCACCAGCGTCGTGGAAACTGAGGAAGGGGGAGGAGAGCGCCCCTCGGCAACAACCCCCTCCACTTCCGTAAAAAAATCTCACCCCTTGTTCACTCAGTCCCGAGGTCTGGGTCGGCCTTGGGGTGCCGACATCGTAGCCTCAGAGATGCACATCCAGGTCCCCAATATCGCTCTGCTCTAGAGGCTGGCCTGCCTGCTCTTCTCTCCCAAGGAAACCAGCAATCTGGGTCCCCCAATCCCCTCCCCGAGGACCGCGAGCACACAGCCCCGTAACTACCGGGGATCCAGACCTCACACTCCACGCGAACCTCTGCAGACTCAGCGGTCCAGAGAGCAACGCACAGACGAAGCGGTCCCGGAGCCCAACACCCTCTTCGCCCGGACCCAGGAAGCCCAGACCCTCAGCGTCCAGCCTTGCAGGCCGGATTCCGGGAAAGGATGGGTTAAGCAGCGGAGGTGGACTCGGAAACCGCCGCGCGCGACGCGCTGACGTCATGGCGCTACGCAAGGGAATCTTCCACCCCCACCCCCCGCCGCTTCGCAGGTGTCCGGCGGAGACTGGTGCGTGGCCGAGCGTGGCGCTCGCGGGGATTCCGCGCGCGGGGAATTCCCGCTCAGCCGGGGGCCTGGGGTCCGGAGGCTCGGCGATCGGGGAAATCCCGGGGTTGGGGCAGGGTCGCGGCCGGCGTGGACCTCACGGCCAAGGTTGAACAACCACGCCCCCAAACCTCAATCCCACTCCTCCTGCGGAGAGGAGGCCCGGACCCCTCCCCCCCGCGGCCCCAGCGATTGTCCCCACCACACTTCCCAGGAGTCCGGATCCACCGTCCCCGAGGCCCCCAAGACTCGGGAGTTTGGATTCTCCCGCTCCGTCCCGATCCTACTGCAGACCACCGGCACTCACACGGCACCCAGGATGCGGTACTCCAGCGCTGACCCCTCAAAACTCCAACCCCAGCCTGTCGCTTTATTTTCAGTCCTAGGGACCGACCCCAGGACTTCTTACTGAGCTACGTCCCCAGATCTCTTATGTTTTGAGACAGTCTCGTTAAATTGCCAGATTGACCAGACGGGGCCCAAATTTGCGATCCTCCTGCCTCAGCCTCCCAAGCCCCGGCGCGACTTGCCTCTCCCAAGGAGTCCAGCGTGCCGCACCTTCCCCCTTCCATTACCTCGGGGATTCCGTGGCGCGGATTGCGGGCCCCCAGGGCCTCGGCCTCTGCGCTGCGCCAGCCTAGCTGCTTCTCCGCGGAGCCGCCGCCGCCGCGTCCCAGATCTTGGGTCCTATCTCCCGCGAGGTTTTAAATTGGGGTGCTGGCACCGCCCAGTCCTAGGCGGGGCCCTGCCCACAGGCCTGGGAGTCCCCGCGCCACGCTCCAGCAAATTCAGTTTCTAAATGGGCGGGGCTGATTTGGAGGATTCGACGCCCTACCTCCCCACCCCATTCTCGCCGCCACCGCCTAGAGGGATTCGGGGAGTCCGGGTGCCTAATCTGCGGGAGCTCAAGGCGCCCGACTCCGGAACGAGGGGGATATAGGGAGCCTGGACTTTTGAGTCTCTGCCCAAGCAGATAGATGTCAGAGACTTTGATTCCTGGACCCTAGGCGGAGGACAGGCAGAACAGTGTTATTGGGTCCTGGCCGAGGAGCCAGGGATCTGGACCCTCCTGGTCTCAGAATCTGGGGTCCTCTTCCACATTGCCTCAAAAGTCAGGTTTCATATATTCATTGTCATTTAAAATAATTCCTTACGGTTCCTGTGTGCTGGCACGTACCTGTGCGTGCCTGGAATTTCAGTCAGTGCTCTTGGGGAAACTGAGGCAAGAGGATTGCAAGTCTAAACCCAGCGGTCACCTCGGCGATTTATCGAGATTATGTCAAAATTAAACGAAAAAAAGAAGAAGAAAAAAGATAGCATAGGGCAGGCGCTTTGTGGGCTGCTGTGGTAGAAAGCTGTGAAGGAAGCCTGCCACCAGGAATTCCCATCCTTCAAGCCGGCTGCGTTCCCAAGGAAAGTGGCTCTTGGTTCCTGCTGACCATAGTGTCCAAATTTCTGGGTCTCCTCCTATAGTCCACCTCCGTGTCTCTGACTGATTCCTCCTCCTCTTCAATCCTACATGTGCATGTGTGGGAAAGGAGGGGGGGCTCTCTGTAAAACTTCCTTGGTGGTCTAACCCAGTCTGAGGGCTTTATTTTATTATTTGTTGTTTTGATTTTGAAACAGGGTTGCACTGTGTAGTGCCAGCTGACCTTGAACTCACTCATGTAGCCCAGGCTGGCCTCAAACTCACTTTTTTTTTTTTTTTTTTTTGGTGGAACCGGGGATTGTACTCAGATCCTTGCATTTGCCAATCAAATGCTTATCCTACTGAGCCATCTCCCCGGCCCCTTCAAACTCACTTTTGATCCTCCTACCTCAGCCTCTTGAGTGCTGGTATTATAGGCATGTGCCACTATGCCAGGCAAGTCTCAGGGTTTCAAATACCATCCTTAAACCTTCCACCCTCGAATTTTCATTTCCAGCACAGATTTATCCCCTGGACAGATGAAAGAGTTTAGGGATAATCCCAGCAGTCTGGAAGGCTGAGGCAGGAGAATTATAAGCTCCAGCCCACTGTAAGCAGTTTATCGACTTGGGGAGACCCTATCACAAATAAATGAGAGAGAGAGAGAGAGAGAGAGAGAGAGAGAGAGAGAGAGAGAGAGAGACTGAGATTGAGTGCTGTGGGCTTTCAGCAATTCCACAGGGAGCTGTGTCAGGCATTTTCAATTCTGAGAGCCCAGTCCTTAGCACTTTTCTTCACAACAGCTTCCCTCAGCCACTGTCAGCCCACTCCATCTTTTCACCTGCTCCCTCTGAAAGCCTAGGTCACACAAATCCCTCTCCTGCACACCCACATCCGCTCCATCAGTCCGCTCCAAATATCCTTGGCTCTACCTCCTATTTCTAGAATCACGCCCACGCCCACACCCTGTCCACCTGTCACTCCCCACTTGGACAACCATAGCAGCCTCTGGAGCTTTCTGACCCCTCCCATCATTCCCAAAGGCAGTCACAAGCACCCCCTCCCCATGCACAAACATGCACAGGAAATAGGTGGCCTTGCAGGGTGTCATCCACTATTGCCACCTCTCTGCTCCCCCACAGTTCCTTGGGACTTCTCTTGGCCACAGTCTTGAGCCAAAGCCCTCAGTTCTCAGCCCACTATGGCCCCTGCAGGCTGAATCCTTCTGCTGCTTCTCAGGTGGTCCGCACTTACTGGGGGGTGGCAGGCAGTACCTGTGGGAAGGCAGTACCTGTGGGAAGGGTGACATCTGAAGGCATAGGTGCTTTGAGTATTCTTGTCCTTGTTGCTTCCCTTCCTGGAGGTCCATGGATCTTGGAGCCCCCCCCCCCGGGGGGGATTATGTGGGGGGGTTTCCTAGAGCCCATAATCTCCCCTCCTGTGCTATTAACCTCCCCAGGCCACTGCTTCTACTTCCCACTTTCTTTCTTTTGGGGAAGGATCAGGGAGTATAGGAGATCAAACCCAGGGTCTTTGCACTAAACTACATTTCCAGCCCTTTTAAAAAATAAATTTGGCGGGGGGCAGGGAGATGGCTTAGTAGAATAAGCGCTTGCTTGACAAGCGCAAGGGCTTGAGTTCAATCCCCGGTTCTGCCAAATAAATAAATAAATAAATTTAGGGCTGGTGAGATAGCTCAATGGACTAAATGCCTGCTTTGGCAAGCGCAGGGACCACGGTTCTATCCCTGGTCATGCATGCCACGCCGGCCCCTGCCCCTGAGCCAGTAATCCAGTCTGGGTGTGGTGGCGCACACCTGTAATCCCAGCGCTGGGGAGACTGAGGCTGGACTTTGAGCCTGCTTTGAGTTTGAGACCAACCTGGGCTATAAAGTGAGTTCAAGGCCAGCCTGAATTATATAGACAAAATCTCACTAAGTCACTATACTGCCTGGGGTAGGCTTCAGCTTGGATCCTTCCGCCGCTGGGATTACACTTCTACTTGCCATGTGCCCCATATCCCTGGGTGCTCCCCTTTCCATTTGGCCTACCTTTCTCACCCACCTGTCCACAGTCAACACCCCCTTCCCTGCTCTATTCTCCCACCCCCACCCCACCCCCATCCACTTTCTCTTTCCACAGTGGTTGCATCTTAGACGTCCCCAAGTGAGAGATCTTCCCTCCCTTTGACACCCAGGTGCCACTTCCATTCCTAAAGGAGAAAGCCTCAGGCTCCTCAACATCTGCAGCTGCCCAGTCTCCAAATCTGAGCCTCCTGAAGATCTGCCACTCTCTCTAAGGCCCACCTTGCCCTGTTCGTTAGCAAACTAAAGCCCTCCTTTTATCCCCGAAGCATAATCCCAGCATCTGGGATCCACCTTGGTCCCAGGGGTCGTCGTCCTCCTCTCCCTATGCCCAATAGCACAGCTAGGGACCCAGTGCCCCCTCAGGCATCTTTTTTTCAGAGCCCCACCCTCCAGGTTGCTGCTCCGGATGAGGGCGGCTCTCCCAGCAGCTCCTGGCTGCCATTGCGGTCTGGTCGCTTTGCATGGTAGGCGTGGTCTTCGCTTGTGCCCTTCCCAGCCTCCGCTGAACAACCCCCGCTACCCTCCCCCATGACGGCAGCGACTGGGTGTGTGGCCTGGAGGGAGGGTGGTGTCCCTAGGGTGGGTGTCCCGTGGAGGGGGCTCCCAGGGAAGCCCTGAAGATGCTGGGGAACCCCTGGGGGTGGTGCTTTGGGGAACCCCTGAGGAAACCCCGGAGGCAGGGGTTACCCAGTAAGGTGAAGAAGTGGGGCGAGTGGGGAGGGGGTGGGAGGTCAGGCTTCATGATTTCTTCTCCCCACCCCTAGAAGACAGCAGAGTCTACCTCAACATGCCCCACAGGGGCTGACCCCTGCAACTTCAACCCTTGACTTCTGACCTCATCCTGAGCTCTGAGTGGCAACATAGAAAGAGCGCGCTCACACACACACACACACACACACACACACACACACACACACACACAGAGCTCCCTTCTGGATTGAAATAAAGCAGTTAAAATTCTCTAGTTTTCTTCTTAAGAGAACCTCAGGGTTCTCAAAGCTTTTCTCCCACTTAGCTGTTTCTAAACCAAAGATTCCTCAGGACCCCACGAAACCCCAGTTCCTCAGCCCAGACATCAGACATAACAGGGTTTTTTTGCTTTCGTGCTCCCTTGTTTATTTGGGGACAAGACCAGGAAGAGGTCTGATAGCTCAGGGTGGGCACTTTGTGGCTGTGCATCTCCGTAGGGGTAGAAATGATGTGCTTGGTGGGCATCAGAAATGCCCGGGTCCAGGCATCAGGTTATGGACAGGTATCATTTGGCCTCATTTGTAGTATGGCTGCCGCTGTGTGTTGAGGTCGCTGTAGACATCTGACCTTGTACCTTGGAGCTCCTAACAGGATGGAGACCATCAGTGGATAGGGGCCTACCAAATACACTTAAAACAAGACCCATCCTGTTTACAACAGCTTACAAGCTTCTTCACCATCATGGGCATGGAAGACCTCTGGATTTTAGTCAAGTCCATCCTGTGTTCCCCTTTACCCGCTGCTTCAACCTCATGCTTTAGCCTCAGGGCCTTTGCGCATGGTATTCCCTCTTCTCAGAATCTGGGTCCCTTGGATCTTTCACCTCCTTCTCCCCCTTCAAGTCCCAGCTTGTGCCCCATTCTCAGAGGGCATTTCTCACTTCCCCCCTCTACACTGCCCCTCTGATCACCATTCTATTAGCCTGCTTTATTTCCTTCAAGGTGGCTTCTGCACAGTGATTCTGTTAATTTGCTTCAAATCTGTCTTCCCAGCCCAGCTAGCCTGTCATCTCTATTGCTGTGGCCCCAGCATGTGGTGCATAAAGGTGCTCAACAAATACTGAAGGGCTGGGTACACTGGGGTGACATCTCACCTGCTCTTAGTAATTGGAACACCCCCTCAGTCTCCTGGATCTCACCAAACTTTATACTTTAAACCAAATTATATACTTTGCAAATAAACTTGTTATCCACAAGTCAGGCAAATCCGGAAAGCCGGTTGCAGACCATGAATTAGATTTCAGGGTTCGCAAACAGGGGGTTAGGGTGAGAGTCTGTGGAGCCAAGAGGCAGGCCTCAGGCAGAATCTATGAATCCTGCTGCACGGGCAGTTGGGGCGTGTCTTACTGTGGGAAAGGGTCTCAAAGAACCTTGTGAGCCCCCAAAAGGAGGAGTCTTGATGGGAAGGGAAAGCTGGGACCATGTCACACCACATCATGATTTTTGTGTATGAGTGGTGCTGAGCCTGGGACCCAGAATATTGTTCTCACCATGCAAACACTACCACCAAGCTACATCCCAAAGCCATGCATTATGACTTTTAAGAAGGGGCTCAAAGACTCTTACATTACTCTGATTATATAGAGGAACGTGGGGTGGGGGTGTGGGGTGTGGGTGTAGTTTTCTGAGGAGTCTGTAGTATCAGCTTTTCAAAAGGATGTGAGATTCAGTAGCCCCCAAATGCTAGGACTCCTCTCTGTTTGGTACAGGGTCTCACTACACAGCTCAGACTCATAGTGATCCTCCTGTCTCAGCCTCCCCAGCACTGGGATTACAGGCATGCACCACCACTCCTGGTCTTGGTGGCCGGTACAGTGTACCTAGGATTCCAGGGCTGGCTCGGCATGTGGTACTGGGAATCAAGCAGGTGCTTAGACCATCAAGCTATCTGCCCAGCCCCTGGCCTTCTCTCTTTAAGAGTTGCCAAACTAGGCCTGAATTCTATCCTCTGCCTTACTAAAGGCCTCTCCCAGGAATCAGCATGTCCTGGGGCCAGGCTTCTTCCAGAGTAACTCTTGCCCACCCCAATCCCCAAGATGGGTCACTGGACTCAGAGACTTTGTAGTAAACTACATTCTCAGATCTTGTCTATTTCTTATTTTGAAACAGAGTCTCGCTAAATTGCTAAAGTGCTAATCTGAGATCTTCCTGCTTCAGCCTCCCAGGGTCCAGGAATTACCAGCCTGTGCTGCTATCCTGGGCTCCTTTCTTGACCTTACAGAGTCGTATTTCCTCTCTACACATTTTAAGCTTAGCATAAGGTTGGGATCATCCCTTAATATGGCTTTGGATAGATTCCAACCTTGATTTCAAGGTTGGGCGGAGCTGCCAGGAGAGAAGTGTTAAGGTAGTTGGGAGGCATGTTTGTGAGCAGGAGTAGGCAGGAGTGAGAGGTGAGAAAGAGTCTGGGGGGGTGATTTCCTTACCTGATATGGTGATTCAGTCTCAGTGATGGGCTGCTTCCGGGTCACTGGGGTGGGGGTGGGGAAGAAAGGGTACAAAGATGGACAGGGCCGTTATTTTCTTTTTACTTTTTTTTTTTTTTTTTTTATGTGGCTCTGGAAATTGAACCCAACACCTTTACATTGAGCTACATTCCCAGGTCTTTTAAATATTAAGATAGGGTCTCACTAAGTTACTTAGTTGTTCCGGCTGGGCTTGAACTTGTGATTCTCCTACCTCATGCAAAGGGGTATATCTGTATATCCAGCCCCTCCCTCACCAGCCCTGTGGGTGCCTGTGACCTGGGGGATTACCCTGAGCCCCCACTAGGTCAGTCCTCAGTGTCCTGAGCCAGCCCCACTTACTCTGGGCAGTCTTTTGCCCCCGAGGGACCAGTCGGCCTAGAGAGTACACAGCCAGGGCAATGAGCAGGGTCAGCACCAGGTCTCCCAGCACGATCCCCGCCAGCACCCCGGGGCTCATGGGGGAGCAGTTGTATCCTGTGAATGCAGCATAGAGGTTGGGGCAGTTGGTGTGCGTGCATTAGGCATGGAAGGTGGACATCAGCAGAAAGAGGTCTGGGAAGGTTGGAGAAGAGACAAGAAGGGGAGGGCGGGAGGTAGAAAGAGAGATTTCTGGGTCTGGCCTTACCACTCTGAGCCTGGACAGGACTGAGACCTGAGGACGGAAGAAGAGGTAAACTGAGGCATGTAGCTATGACTGAGCTGAGAGAGGATAAAAGCTTGGAAAGGTGAAAAGCAGCATCTTGTGGGACCTGGCGTCCTGGTGTCGAGGCTGCCGGACATGTGTGGCCTCTGTACTTGCCTGCCCTATTGCGACATCCTTGCATGTCCCCTCCTTCTGCTTGTACCAGGGGCCATATCTTAAGATCTCTGGCTCAGGGAGAGACCCACAGGTTTGGGGGGACCTGCTCCCTCCCACCCTCCCCTTGGTATTTCTCTCCTTGCACAGCTCCGGGCCCTGCCCCTGTCCGTGCTTGGGGAAATGGGAAATGGCTGCAGAAGCCCCCAACTCACCGGCCACGGTCAGAAGGAGAGGCAGGAGCAGAAGCCGCCAGGAGGGTTCCAGTCCCCCCATGATATGCGACACTGCTGGACTGTCCAGGGGGCCAGTAGACGTGGCGTGGCGTCCAAGCGAGTGAAGGAGGAAGTCTGAAGTGGGTGGTGGCAGGAGGAGGAGGGGACAGTGGGGAGGGAGGAGGGCCAGGCAGAACAGCAGAGAGAATCAGGCCCAGGGCCAAAACACTGTCCCTGACGACTGGACACAAAGGACAAACAGGTGTATGCATCCATTCTTGCTCTTCATCCCCTATCAAGGGCCAGACATCATTGTGACAAGAGGGCTGGTGGTTGCCTATGACTGAAGCTGGCTCTGCCTCTCCACAACAGTCTGCAAGGCTCCTGGGCCTCAGCATCTTCATTTGTAAGATAATCTCTTCCAAAAAGGAAAGGGTCCAGGAGATGGAGGGAGGGAGGAGGGAATGAAAAAAAGATTTTTTTGGTTTTTTTTTGCGGAACCGGGGATTGAACTCAGGCCCTTGTGCTTGCCAGGCAAGGGCTTATTCTATTGAGCCATCTCCCCGGCCACAAAAAAAAAAAAAAAAAACATTTTGAGCTGTGAAAAGTATAGACACCCCCACCCCACAGCACATGGGATCATTATGTACTAATAATTTTAAAAAAATTGGGACTACAGCGGTATGTATTTGGTAGGTTTCTAGTGGGGTTTATGTGAATTTTCATACTTAGAAGAGGGCCTTGGGGCCGAGGAGATGGCTCAGTAGAATAAGTGCTTCCCTGGCAAGCGCAAGGGCCTGAGTTCAACCCCTGGTTCTGCCAAAAAATAAAATAAATAGGAGAGGGCCTTGTCAGCTTTTTATAAGCATCAGCTAAAATTATGGCTAATATTTGATCATCAGACCCTTGTAGTAGTTGTAGGATATTAAGAGAGAACCGTGAGAGTGTGCGTGCTAATGCTGCACAGGACTCTGTCATAAATGTTAAATCATTTCATTCCCAGACCTTCTTCTTCTTCTCCACGCTACAGAGAGGCACAGAAAGATACTTGCCCTTGCCTGAGGTCACAAAGCAAATAAAGGTGGAAATGAAGCCCAGGGCAGAAAGGAAGAAAAGAAAAAAGGAGGGAAGGGGAAAGTGAAGCAAAGCAGACAAACAGGGACGAGAATGAGTGTCACAAGTACACCACCACAGACAGGCTTGCACTTGAGGTAAGGCAGGTGGGAACAACACGGCCACCACTGGGCCGAGCTGGGCTACCCTGGCCAATGAGGAAGTGGTTGGCAGCAAGGACTAAAGGGGCCACCCAGGCAGAGACAGGGACTTCTAGTCCCCCAAGGGAGCCTGAGCTGAGGCTGGAGAAGGAGGAACCTGAGGTTAGGGTGCGGGGGATGACAGCTACGGAAGCCTCCTCCCCCATCCACAGGTCACACCCTGGTGCTCCCAGCCCGGGTTCTGGAGAGAAAGGGGAAGCTGGATGCTGGTCATGGGGCAGACACTGGGTGCCAGTGGGGGAGGGAGAGAGGAATCTGGAGGCTACAGGAGGCTCAGGCTGCTGGAGGCCGCTGCTGCCCAGGCCTAGCAAAGCCCCGACACCCTACAGAACCCATTAGGGCCTAGACAGAGCATGGAAGCTCAGACCCTCGGACTGCTGGGCACAGCAGGACTCTCAAGGCAACCTGAGTAGAGTGAGCGAGGGGCAGTCGGAGGTCACAAAGGCCCTGACCCGGCTCTGGTGGTCAGAGCCTCCCTGTGGTTGTAGAACAGACTGTGATGGCTCAGATGGGAGCAGGAAACTGGGCCACTCTGCTGGAAAGTTTTGCGGAGAGGACTTTAAGGTCAATTTGAACAATGACTGACACCTTGCACTGCTTCTGAAATGTTAACCATTATTGTCATGGTCATCATGATTGTTATTAGCATGTTCAGCATTGAGTTCTGGGCTCCCTTGATAAAAAGTCCTCCCATACCCAGGCACAGTGGGAGCTCAGTGGCACACACCAATGACACCAACATTCCAGAGGCTAAGGCAGGAGGATCGTGTCAAGTTCAAGGCCACCTGGAGATATAGAGTAAGTTCAACGCCAGCCTAAACTACATGGTGAGATCTTATCTTAAAAAAAAGAACAAGCAAACAAACAAAAAAAGTTAAAAAATAAAATTAAAAAACTCAAAAGGACTAAAGATATATCCCAGCACAATAGTGCTTGCCTAGCATATATAACCCATGGATTTGATCTCTAGAACCACAAAACAAAGCCATATGAAACATCCAGTTTTGGTGGCACATGCCTTGTCGTCCCAGAACCTGGAGGCTGAGGCAGGAGGATCACTGTGATTTTGAAGCCAACTCATACTATAGAGTGGGTTTAAGACCAACCTAAGCCACATAGTAAGACTCTGTCTCAAAAAAAAAAGAAACAAAGCAAAAATCCCTCCTTTAGCCCTTCAGCCTCAACCTCTTGACCCCATCCTCCAACTCCCATCGGGCGTGAGCTATCCCCCAAAAGACACAACAGGGTACACAGGCACCGTCCAATGAGGACAAGTGTGGCCATCAGGATGGGCTGGCGTCTTGGAAGCCCCCTTTAGTTGCTGAGCTGTAGGAGGCCCAAGGGCTCCCAAGGGAAGGAACTCTGGTGGTGGCAGGCATTGGTGGTGGGATATGAACTGTACAGTTTTTTAACCAGCTCAAAAGGAACTTTTTTGCAACAGATAACAACCATGCTGGTGCCGACCATGAAACAGGGTTAGACTGCTGTCTGGGCTGGGTCGGGGGATAAGGCCCCCTCTCTGGGGAAAGAAAGAAGATGAAATGGAAGGCATTCCACCAACTAAGTTGTGCCCAAGGTGGGTCCAGGCTACAGCAAGATGACAGCCTCACCTACAACCTGCAAAGCTGCCCGATCTCTCCTGGCAGTGAGCCAGGAGCCAGGGAAGGTCCAAGCTGACCGTCCCAGAAACCAGGCTGAGTTCTGGCCTCTGTGGAAGCAGCTTATTCTGCCCTCAGAAGCCAGAAGATGCTTTTGAAAAATGAGACAAATATGGTTGGGGTGTAGCTCAGTGATAGAGCACCTTATCACATGGACAAGTCCCTAGGCTCCCCCTCTGCAGGCAACCAACTCAGACACTTAATCTTTTAAGTGGCCAGAAGAGGTTAGCACAGACACTTTACAAAAGACTTACAAATGTTCAATAATAAGTATGTGGAACAGCATTCAACCTCATTAGTCATTAGGGAAATACAAATGAAAAACCACAGTGAAATGCCAGGGCACACCCACTAGAATGACTAAAATTAAAAAGACTGATCCCATCAAGAGTCGGCAGAGATGTGGAGCAATGGGAATCGCATCCGTCGCTGGTGGAAATGTGAGACAGACGGACCACTTTGGAAGACGGTCTTGGTGGTGTCTTGTAAAGTGAAGCATTCACCTCCTCAGAAACACAGCGATTCTGCTACTGGTCATTCACCCAAGAGAAATACAAATGTATATTTACAAGATGTGCGGGCTCTGAAAGATCTCACCCCCGCCCCTCTTTCTCCCCTCCCCCCATCTCCCTCATGCTACTCGCTGGTTCACTGAAGACACTGGCCTCCAAGCTACTCTTTGAATGAGCTAAATTCAGCATTGCCTCAGGACCTCTGCACCTGCTGCTCTGCTTCTGCGATGGATGGCTCGGATGTCTTCTCCAAAACTCACGTTGCTTTTGTAACCGTGTGAAGCAGTGGAAACTTTAGTGTCAGACGAGGACAAATGTGAGGTCGCAGGCCTGTAATCCCAGCACTCTGGAAAGTGGAGGCAAATAGATCCCAAGTGTGAGCTCCACCCGGGCAATTTAGAGACATGGTGAGGCCCTGTCTGAAAATACAAAGTCAGAAGGGCTGGGCATGTGTTCAGTGTAAAGTCCGTGAGTTCAGATCTCAGAGCACCCCCTACACACACACACACACACACACACACACACACACAGGATGAGGTCACCTCAAGAATGCATTATTACCTTATCAAGGGAGGGAGTCTTTAATGAAAGGGGTGAATCCATCCGATTCCCCCATCTCTCCTGTGATAGCTTGCGCTTCTGTCTTGTGTGACTCAGCATAGAAGCCCTTGCTAGATGCTGGCACAGTGTACCCAGACTTCCCGGCCTCCAGAACTGTGAGCCAAACAAACTCCTGTTGGTGACACTTTACCTCGTCTGCGGCTCTGTGCTTCAGAGGCAGAGAAGGCACCGTGCCTGCCCTTAATGCTTTGCCCAGAGCATCTGTGTCACTGTCACTCTGCAAAGCTTCGCGTCCTCCAGGTCTCAGCCCATGTGTCCTCCTATCCCCAAGGCTGTGCTGATGCCACTGCTAAAGTCCTCCCCACCGCACGCGCGCTTGCACACACACACACACACACACACACACACACAGAGTAGTTTCTTTTTCAGCCTGGTATTTGTCATACCTGAAATTCTCAGATCTCTGTGTTCCTCATTTGTACTACTTATCATTTCTTGTAGAATGGAAATTCCATGAGAACAGTGACCTTTCTGTCCCATTCACGGTTGTATCCCCAGTACACAGCACAGAAGCTCAGTAATTATTCTTTGCATATTGACTAAGTGACTACCAGTGGTAAAACGCTGGATTAAATCTGGCTTCTTTCTTGTATCTGAAGAGTTTTAAGGGTTCCAAAAATATTTAATCTCTTGGCAGATAAAAATGCTAGTGTCAGCCGAGCCTGGTGGCAAAAGCCTGTGATCTCCGCATTTTGGGAGGCTGAGGCAGGAGGATTGAAAGTTGCAGTTAAGCCTGAGCAATTTAAGGACTTAGCAAGACTCTGTCTCAAAATAAAACATCAAAAGGGCTGATGTTGACTGTCACTCAGTATAATTACAAATTAGATGGACAGTACTGAAAATAAAAGCCCATCTCCCCAATACTGTAGGATCCCATTTATATGGTGTACTCACAGTAGTAAAATTCACACACAGTGAAGCTACAGTGGTGCGGGGCTGAGGATGTAACTCAGTGGGGCAGCACTCGTCCAGTGTGAGCAGAGCCCTGGGTTTGATGTGTTATATGCAAAACAGTAACAACAATGGAATGATGGTTGGAGGCTGGGGTGGAAACTGGTGTTTACTGGGTGTCTTGGAATGTTCTGGGCTGCTGTCAAAGATTATCTGATAAGAAGCATAAAGAAAAGGGACTTGTTTCTCATAGTTCCAGAAGCTGGGAAATATGAGGTCACAAAGCAGAGGGCAAGAAAGCACATGAGGGAGAGAGAAGGCAGATGAGGACCAGACTGCTTTTATACAAACTGCCTCTCAAGGTGACAGACTTAGTCCTGAGGAAGCCATGTTCACCCAAGCGTAAGGACAGAGCCTACATGCCCGGATCACTGCCCTCCTCAGACCTGGTACTGGGCATTGAATCCTGGATCTTCACACTGAGCTCTATCTCCAGCATCTCCCCCTTTTTTACTTTTTATTTTTGGAGACAAAGTCTTGGTAAGTTGTTAAATTCTCCAGACTGGGTTCAAATTTGTGATCCTCCTGCCTCAGCCTCCCAGAGTCCTAGCATTACAGGTGGCCACCACCACGGCTGGCCTAATCACCCCTTGAAGGTCCCAATCCTCAACACGGTTGCATTAGTGAGACAGGAGATTAGGGGGAGGCAAAAGTGGCTGGGGTGGTAGGCATGACCCTTTAATTACAAGATCCCAGACACAAGAGCAGAGCAGTTCCCAGAGCCTGTATGTGGATTTCCTGTGAGAACCTGAGCAGGCTGTGAGATGTGGGATCCCAGCACCACCCCTCAGGACCTGTATGCAGAAGTTCTCGCTAGTTTCCTCGAGATTTGGACAATATGAAGGACACACCTACAACATGAAGAACTCTCTGTCCATCATAACTTTCCAACTTAGCCCACGCTGCATTTCCCAGACACAGAGACACTTTTATTTTTGCTTTTACCTTGTTTTTCTCTTTTCTCAGCCTGAGCTTGCTCTGCAGAGCCAGCTTCTCCCCTTCTCTTCACTTTTACTTTCCCGAATAAATTTGGCTGCTGTTTTTTTGGCTCATTCCATCCAATTCTTTGTTCTGGCTAACAAGAACCTGGAATCTAACTCCAGAGGAAGAGCCGAGCAACCCAGAAGCTGGGAAGTGTAGTGGCTGAGCCGCTTTAGAAGCAGGGTACTGGCGGGGATTAAGTTCCAGCACATGAACTTAGAGGGACACACTCAAACCGTAACACTGGATATGGGGCTGCTGTTTCAGAAGATGAAAAGCGTTCTGGAGATGGATGTTGGTGGTGCGTGCAGAATATCACGAGAACGTTTATCGCCGAACTGTGCACTGAATGGTTAAGAAGGAAATGTTTATGCTGCAGGGCTTTTTGTTTGTTTCTGTTTCACGGTGGTCTTGAGGATTGAACCCAGGACCTTTGTACTGAGATCCATTCTCAGCCCTTTTGATATTTTTATTTTGAGACAGGGTCTCACTACGTTGCCAAACTGTCCAGGCTGGGCTCAAATTCATGATCCTCCTGTCTCAGCCTCCCAAAGTGCTGGGATTCAAGCATGTGCCATTGTACCTGGATATAGATAGATAGATAGATAGATAGATAGATAGATAGATAGATAGATATAGAGATATATAGAGATATATATCCACAATAAAAATCTTAAAAATAAAAAGAAGAACAGTGCCCTCAAACATCCTCTTGCTCCTCTCCCATGGGAGCAGGCCATGTGGCGCCAGGCTGAGGGTCAGATTTCCCAACTCCATTTGCATTTAGAAGGCCACACAGTTCACTCTACCTGCTTGCAGGGTGGGCAATGAACAGGCGCTTGGGAGGTCAGAGCCACTGTGCAAGGCCGCAGCCTGCTCCCTTTCCTTCCTGTCTCACTGCTGAAATTCCCACGTGTGAGGGGAGACCCTGGAGCAAGCTTACCAGGAAGCACTGTGGAAAGGAACAGAAAGAAGGCAAGAGCCACAGACCCCTCACTTGGAGGAGCCACCCCAGCTCTAGACTGCCAAGCAAGGCAGAAACTTTCCATTTGTGGGAGAGTCTCTGAAGTCACTAACCAAGGAGTCCTCCTTCCTGATACACACACACACACACACACACACACACACACACACACACACGTTGTCCCTCCCATTAGGGAATCTGAGCTGGCTTGTGACTTGCTACCCACCCCCAGTATTCGGGTTTGAACCAAGTTACTCCCAGGTCTTTTGTAGGGGGCTGGGGAGTGGGAAGGAAGTGTTTTGAAACAGTGTCTCGCTATGTAGTTTAGGCTGACCTTGATCTCACTGTGTAGCCCAGGCTGGCTTCAAACTCACAGTGACCCTCCTGCCTGAGCTTCCTGAGTTCTGGGGTTACAGCTGTGTGCCACAACATCTGTTTTCCCAGTCCTTTTATTTATGATTTTTTTTTTCATTGTTGTTGTTTTTTGTGGTACCAGGGATTGAACTCAGGACCTTGCACTTGCCAGGCAAATGCTTATTCTACTGAGCTATCTCCCTGGCCCATTGAGACAAGTTTTTGCTAAATCTGTAAGTTTCCCAGGCTGGGCTCAAACTTGTGGCCCTCCTGCCTCAGCCTTCTGGAGTGTTGGGATTATAGGCATGTGCCTCCATGCTGGACTTTAGGACTTGCTTCAGTCCAGAACACAGTGGAAGAGATGCGGCCTCGTCCTGAGCCTGCACTTTAAGAAGCCCACATGTACAGCATGTGCTTGTGTTCTTGGGACTCAGCCACCATCCTCTAAGGAAGCCAAGCTCCCTGGAGAGCAAGGCCACACCAAGCAGCCCTGGAGGATGAGGGACTGAGACTACACTAGATGGGGTCCACTGTCCCAGCCACACATAGAAATTAAAAAGTAAGCCACTAAGTATGTTGAGAAAGGCAGAGCTTGAATTGGAAAGTAAGAGAAGATGGGGCAGGAACTCCAGCCTGACGAGGAGAACTGAAGACCCAACAGAGAAGTCCAGGCTGGCCTCGAAGTTGTAAGGTGATAAAGGGGACAGAGATGCCAAGCTTTGTTCTGCTTTAGTTACTCATTGGGCCTCCCCCTGTTTTTTAACCAAAGTAGCTTTAAGTCCTTGACTGTCTTGGGGGAAAATATGAATGATGCTTTTAACAAGGAACAAGTTAAGGGCCCAGGAGTTTGTTTGTCCTCCGTCCCTCTGTGATAATCTCGATAGCAGTTTCATTTTCTCACCTAGTTTATTTTTGGAGACACTCCAGCAAAGGCAGCCTGCCTTCAATGGCACACCTGGGTTGTGAGGTTGATGAGACTGGGAGGATAAGAAGGCAGGAGCCTGAGATTTTATGAGTCTTAAATAAAGGGCCAGGAATGTACCTGCCCTCTTTCCATGTGGTGGTGTCTTGTCTCAACTCCACATAGAGAAAAGCCCCATGGACAAGAGCCAAGGCACCCCAGGGGCATCCACTGCTAGAGCCTTAGACGGGTGACTGAAATCTCCTCAGCTTTTTTATACCATCCCAGATACCCACCTCATACAGCTGCTGGAGTGACCCTAATCAACCCCTTGTGGAGAAGAGCTATCAAATTAGCCCACAGAATCATGGGAAATTGTAAATCTCGGACTGAAGTCACTACATGAGGGGGTTCTCTTCCAAACCAATGGACACCAGGAGGAATGCTGATATCTTAGAGGCTTGAGCTAGCTGAGTGGAAAATGATGTAGATGTCAGGTGCATACCTGTAGTTCCAGCCAGCACTCTCAGAGGCAGAAGCAGGAGGAGCACAAGTTCAAGTCCAACCTGGACAGCTATGAAATTTATCAAGGCCCTGGCTCAAAACAGAAAAATTTAAACAATGTTTAAAGAAAGGCTAGGGACATGGCTCAGTGTGAAAGCCCTGGATTCAATTTCTAGTACCACCAAAAAAAAAAAAAATGTGTGAAGGCTTGTGGTTGAAGCACAAGCAGTAAAGGAAGGTGTAGCATGCAAACAGCAGAGGAAGTGACAACTTTGGTGTCTCTGGACTCCCTCCAGCCTGTCTTCCTGTACCCCACCTCTGTGTTTCACTTGGCCAGCTCTGCTCTTCCTCGCTTCAGCCCTCTTGCCTCCTTAGAGAACCCCAGAGCTTCTGCCATTTCATAGGCACCATGATTTAAAAAAAGTCATGGCCCTGGGTAGGAACCCAGGGCCGCCACACTGAGCTACATCTCCAACTCTTTCTTATGCTCTTATTTTGACACAAGGGTCTCACTATGTTGCTAAATTGCCCAGCCTGGGCTCAGACTTACCATCCTCCTGCCTCAGCCTCCTAGAATGCTTAGGATTACAGGCAGGTGCCATTTCAGGTACCCTTCCTGCCCATGGGTAGGGCAAGCTGAAAGGACCAAGAGCTTAATGCCCCGGAGAGGAGTTCTCAACCTACAGCTGAGTGGGGTTGTTGTGTAAAGGCTCCTTTACACTTGCATGGCACAACTTAGGGGCATAGTCCACACTGGCTCCCAGAAACCCCCAGCAAGATGAGCTCTGAGCAAGCTGGCTAACACACCCTTTGCTTCCCTGCCCTGTGTGTCTTCCCTGCTCCCCACGGGTCTGCCCAGAGCCTGTCAAGTAAATCCACAGCATTGAAATCCTCTTTATAGTGTGTGGCTCGAAGAGAACACACACAAGGACAAGGGAAGTGTCATCCCAGAAGGGAGCATGGACACTGCGTCACCAGGACAGCAGATGCTGTGACATCTTCGAAGCCCTGCCTTCTTTTCAAAGAAGCTGCCTCTTCCATAGTCTGAAAGTGTAAGCCATCCGCATTCAGGCCAGTGGAGCTCTGACACTCTGACCATCCAGCAGGCAAGGTTCTTATAGGAATGTTCTAGAAGCTGCCTTAATGAGACAGGGAAGGGACGTGTTTGAGGGTGTCAGACCTCATTAAGTCTCTAGGAGAGCCAGAAACACCACCACCGCTGCACTGCTGATGCCACCTAGGACATGCTGCCAAGACTTCTGCATTAGATGCCTGGGAAAATAGTCTGTCAGTTCCTCATGAA